CTGGGGGTTTAGCTCAGCGGCAAAAGCGCCTGCCTGGCAAGCGCAAGGTCGTGAGTTCGGTTCCCGGTACCGGAGAAAAACCAAAAAAAAAAAAAAACAAAAAACCAACCACCTAATTCTAGATGTCCTGGGCCCCCCGCACCCCCTGCACCCGGTGCAGGCCCACCACAGCCCTGGAGAGCCTTGCGTCCAAGCGGCTCCTATCCAGATACTGTGTCAGCAAATCACCTCTGGCCCAGATACCATCCCAGCCAACTTCTCATGCCCTCCTCTCAGCCTTCAGCCTGCTACCTGAGCTGAGGTCCATCCCTCAAAACCAGACTCTACCCACTCTCTGCCTGCGCCCAGTCCCCTGAGGCCAGAAGTAGGTGTTTCTACCCAGAGTGAGTGCTTGGTTTCTTCTCCTCCATCTGCTTCTCACAAAAACCCCTCTAAGGCTGGGCGTGGTGGCGTACACCTGTAATTCCAGCACTTGGAAGGCTGAAGCAGGAGGATCATTGCAAGTTCGAGGCCAGCCTGGGCTACAAAGAAAGCTCAAGTTCAGCCTGAACTGCATAGCGAGACCTTGTTTCAAAAAGACAAAAAAAAAAAAAAAATCTCAGGAGTAAGTCTTGGTACAGGTGCCAGGTGGGGTCCAGACATGAAACCGAAACTCGAGTGTCCCTGGGACAGATACCCACAAAAGTGGGCTTTTTCCTCCCTTAGTCATAGTGGGGCCAGGGACTTCCCTCTGACTCAGGCAGCAAACAGATGCCAAGTTCGTCCCTGGCACCCAGCCTGGGTTCTGCTGAGCTTCAGGTGTCTCCCCTGGCCTAGTCCCCTCTCAGCCTCCCCGAGTACATACTATTATATGACAGTGAGAGGGCGGAACAGGCCCCACGCCTTAAGGCAGACTTCAAGATGGGGGAGGGCTCTCTTGCCCTTATTCTCTGTCCCAGGCCAAGGCTCAGCCTCTTGGTTAAGTTGGGGTCCAACGACCTTGGGAGGATGAAGCTGACTTCCCCTCTCCTAGTAGGCCATTTGGTGCCCATCCATCAGCTCTATCTAACTTCTGAAGACCCAATCAGAGCCCCAGGTCACTGTCAGGAACAAGAGGAGGATCTATCAAGTGATGGGGGACACCATGTGTGGAGGATCAAGCACAAGGGTCATCCCCAACAACCCACAAGCTGTGAGGACCCCAGCAGGTGCTGCAGACACACAGGTAAGCAAGGACCTACTCAGTCCCATCCAAAAGGAAACAACTCTCTTTGCCAAAGCCAGAGCAAGGGCAAAACTTGTCCTTCATGGAGAGACTCCTTGTGGCAAGGGTGACTGGGGACTGCTATCTGCCCAAAGTGGGGCCGTTTTGCCCTCTTAGAGGTAAAATATGGTACTGCTGGAAAAGGGTCAGAACTTTGAAGTGCCTGCACAAATGTGAGACACACAACTGGCTTGAGTGTGGCGTGATAACATAAATGTCAGAAATACTTTTAAGAAAAACAGTAAAAATAGAGATAAGGGGTTCCGGGGAGCTCCAGCCACTAGCACCCTCCTGAGAGTCCCCCTTTTCCAGTGTCTGCAGAGGCTCAGCCCTCAGGAGCACATCTCAGTCCAGCAGGAGCAGAGAGTGACTGTGTCACCTCACACACAGCACGGGCACACAGGAACAGGTGCTGCCGCCACCTGTGTGCTGCCAGGGGCTCACCCCACGCCAAGGGACCACTGTGGGGCTCACAAGCAGGACCTACCACAATGTGGCCCCAGCCCAGGCAAAGCTGGTCCGGCCACCACACCGCTGCACCCTTTCTAGACCTTGTGGAGGGAGAGCTCAGCAAGTACGAATGTGACTCCAAGTGGAGAATGAGCTCAGGGTGCACCACAAATGCACAGAGGACAGAAAGGCAAGGTGCTCTTTAATTCCAAAACTTTTTAAAAATCAGAAACATTGTATACTCAGAAAAGATATAAAACAATAATGTGTTATTATTTAATTGTATTGCTCTTTAAAAGCACGTGGGCCGCGGATATAGCTCAGCGGCACAAGCGCCTGCATGACAAGTGCAAGGTCCTGAGTTGGATTCCTGGTACCAAAAAAAAAAAAAAAAGTATGTGTGTAAATATGTATACATACATATGCACAAGCAAGGCTTAGAAAATATTAACCCCAGACTCAATAATTATACAATAATTATTCTATACCAAGTATCTTATTATAATAATTATCGTTGCATGCTTATACAGTAATTATTGTACCAGGAAATATCTCTTAAAGAATTCACCTAGGGGCTGGAGATGAAGCTCAGTGGCACAAAGCCCTTTGTTCAATTCCTAGCACTGTCTTTCCCCCCTAAAAATGTTCTTTTTAGGAGAAACAGCACCACAATTTATAATAAAAAAGTGCTCAATGATATAAGAATGATAGAAAACACATGCCTATGATTTTAAAGTGTGGTATTAAAAAATTTACATGAAAAAAAGAAAAACTTACATGGCTGTAAAGGTTTTTTTAGTATATGTGCTGCTGAAGTGAGCACCGTTTCTATAAAGTTTAATGCAAACATTAATAGGGAGTCTTAGAATACAAGGAACATAAAAATAAAAATTTTAAATAAGAAAAAGTATGGTAGGCTGGGCGTGGTGGCACATGCCTGTAATCCCAGCACTTGGGAGCCTGAGGCAGGAGGATCTCTACAAGCTTGAGGCCAGCCTGGACTACACAGTGAAACCCTGTATCAAAAAGACAAACAAAGAAAAAGTACGGGAAAGGCAAGAGAAGGAAGAGATAAAGCATAGCAGGGCTGACGTTGTACTTCAACGGTGGAGTGTTTTCCTGACATGCACAAGGCCCTAGGTTTGGTCCCCAGTACTCCCCGCAACACACTGTTCAATTCTTGAGAGCAGTTGCTAAATTCAGATCATTGTAAATTTTAAATTTAAGAATCAGGGTGGTGGGTCACACTCGTAATTCCAGCACTCCAGGGTCTGAGGCAGGAGGATTGCCTAGAGTTTGAGGCCATCCTGGGCTAAAGTAAGTTCAAAGCCTGGCTGAACTACATGGCAAAACCCTGCCTCAAAAAATAAAAAAAATAAAAATAAATAAATAAATTTAAGAAAAAACTTTAAAGTAGGTTTTTACAACATTCATCAATTGGAAACTTTTGTGTGGGTGATGCTAGGGATTGAACGCAGGGTTGCAAGCATGCTAGGCAAGCACTGGAGCACTGAGCTACATCCCCAACCCAATAAACTGGAAAAGTTAATACAATATCAATCGTCTTGGGGGATGGGGATTTAGCTCAGCAGCACAGTGCCTGCCTGGCAAGCACAAGGTCATGAGTGCGATTCCCGGTACCGGAACCTCCCCCAAAACATCAGTCGTCTCTAAATTTATACAGAGTCAATGTAATTTCAATCTCAATCCCAACAGGTGGGCTCTGTGTGTTCACAAAATCATCAAAGAACTTCAGACAGCTAAAATCCAGGGCAATGTCTAAGAGCCATGGAGGAAGAATCATTCCTCAAAGCTGCTTTTTTGGGGAGGCGGGTACCGAGAATCAAACTCACAACCTCACACTTACCATGTAGGCGCTGTGCCGCTGAGCTAAATCCCTGGCTCAAAGCTGTTTTTATCTGGAGCCAGTTGCAAATGAAGAACGAACAGCTTTGAAATTGGGTGGTGGTTTGATCTGGGACAAAAGGAACCAAGAGCCCACCTGTGTGAGGGTCTGACAGACTACCTCGGGGTAAGAGTAAGTAAGTTAGACAGTCCCCACATAGATTTGAAGCTTGCATTCGTGTAATTTAAGTGATCATCATCTGGGCTGGACTAGTCCTGACATCCGGTTCCTAATTTAAATCCTTTCATAAAATAGGTGTGATTATACTAGACCTCAAATTATTTCTACCTCAAGTTATTTCTACTTCCACTTCTGTGTATATATGCTAGCGATTGAAATGGGGGCCTTTCCACTGAGGTACATCCCCAGGACATTTTCCTTTTTTTACTTTGAGACAGGATTTCACTAAATTATCCAGACTAGCCTCAAACCTACAACCCTCCTGCCTCAGCCTCCCAAGTAGCTGGGATTACAGGCTTGTACCACTGT